TGTGTTCTGAAGGGAGTCGGACGACGTTACGCTTTGGGGGCCAGGGGATCGACGTGAAGGTAGAGGCGATGGATCGGGCGTCCTGGGGCGACACTGCCGCTACAGCTGGACTCCGTGTGTTGTCTGGCCGCCTTCGGCACACCCCGCCACCGTGCTTGGGTTGTGGGTAAGAAGCGTATGGGATGTCCGTTGGGATGTCGTCGGGGCCCTTTCTCGTGGGCTCCTTGGAAGCAGCTTGGACGGCAGTTGAAACCGTTTTGGGCTCTCATTTGATCCACTTTGGGGCATCCTGGGGCGTTTGGATGCCAGTTGGGGGCCTTTTTGGGTTTATTGGGTGGCATCGTTGGGGTTACTGGGAGCCTCTTCGGGCGGAACGTTGGTACTATGGGCTCGAGGTCCCCCTCAAAGGGCCCCTCTTCGAATCGTTTTGGGCAATGTTTCTGCCGTCTTGGGGGCGTTTTGGGCCGTTTCGGAACCCTTTTGGGCTGTCTTGGCGGCCCCTTGGAGCCTCTTGGGCCGTCGTGGAGCGGTTTGGGGGGCCTCTTGGTCTGTCGTCAACGCTGCGAAGGCCGAAAAGTCGCATATGTTAGGAACGCACGTTTTCCCAATGGAAATTCTTGACGCTTCGCGTATCCCCACCAGCCCATCCAGAAACGATGCCCAGGCGAGTAGAGGTGATCATGGAAGCGGGGCAGCATACAGAGGAACAAGGGGCTGGGGAGGCCGTCGTACCGCAAGGGGGGGGATGGAAGAGGAGTCGGAGGCGGAAGAGGAGGAGGATGATGAGGGTGGGGAGGGAGGAATGAGGAGGAGGAGGAGGAGGAGGAATAGGCGGATGATGATGTTGATGTTGATATTGATGATGCCGATGATGACGATGATGGTGGTGGTCTTGACGATGGTGATGGTGATGATGATGATGATGATGATGATGATGATGATGATGATGATGATGATGATGATGATGATGATGATGATGATGATGACGGTGATGGTGATGGTGATGGTGATGGTGATGGTGATGATGAGGGGGAGGAGGAGGAGGAGGATAAGGGCGATCAGAAGAGTCAAAGGCCTCTTGAATGCCTCGCGGAGTCTCTTGGGATGTCTCTTGGGATACTCTTTGAGGTCTCTTGGGGCGTCTTGGGGGCCTCTTGGCGGTCCCGGGAGCTTCTTGGACCGTCTTGGGTGCCTCGGGGGAGCCTCTTGGGGCCTCTTGGGGGCCTCTTGGGGGTATTTTGGGGGACTCTTGGAGGCCTCTTGGGGCCTCCTGGTCGCCTCTTGGGGCCTCCTGGGCGTCTCTTGAGGCCCTCTTGGGGCGCTCTTGGGAGCCTTGGGAGCGCTCTTGGGGCCATCTTGGAGGTGATCGATCAAAGGAAGGGGGTCCCTCAATTAGCTTCCCCCTCGGGAGCCTCTAAAATCTGCCAAAACCCTAGTAAAACCGATGAGTTTGGATTCCTCGCCGAGGCCGTTTTGGACGCTCCAACTACCAGCGAAACCCCCCGTCCAGGCCCAGGGGAGGGGGTTAGGGGGAGGGGTAAACCGCTCCCCGAAGTGGAGGCAACCCCGCACGTGGGGGCAGTGGGAGACCGTTCGGCCCCGTCGCTCTGACGCGGTAAGCTGGGTGGCTTCGGAAAGAGGCGCCGCGCGAACTTGATTACGTTTCTGCCTTATTGTCCTACGGTTCGGATCCGAACAAATACGCGCTCTGCTACGCGCGACTGCAACAACGAATGGAAACGCTAAAAAGCAGTGCGAAAATATCAGCCTTGCTTCTTGGGGGCGGAAATTTCCGCCCTACTTTTTCGGCTTCTTATAGATGGATTTCCGACGCAATTTTAAGTTGGAGAAAAAGCCAAAGTAGGGCGGATACGGAGTCAGGGCAGCCGGGCACCCTGGCATCTGGGCATCCGGGCACCCGGGCATCCGGGCATCCAGACACGCTGGCACCCGAGCGGGGCCGGGCCTCAGGCACAGGCACCGCCCGGGCAGCCAGGCACCCGGGCATTTGGGCATCCGGGCACCCGGGCAAGGCCCGGGCAGCCGGGCACCCGGGCATCCGGGCATCTGGGCACCCGGGCATCCGGGCATCCAGACACGCTGGCACCCGAGCGGGGCCGGGCCTCAGGCACATGCGCACCGCCAGGGCAGCCGGGCACCCGGGCATCCGGGCACCCGGGCACCCGGGCCGGGCACCCGGGCATCCGGGCACCCGGGCATCTGGGCATCCTGGCACACGGGCACCCGAGCGGAGCCCGGCCTCAGGCAGCCGGACACCCAGGCATCCGGGCACTTGGGCAAGGCCCCGGGCACGGGCCCCTGCATCTGAGCACCCGGGCATCGGGGCACTCCAGCAAACGGGCACTTGAGAGGGTCCAGGCTTCAGGCAGTTGGGCATGCGGCCATCGCCCGGGCAGCCGGGCACCCGGGCATCCGGGCACCTGGACACGGGCCCGGGCACCGTAAAATAGTCATATACCCAACAGGAGACGATGACATTACGACGACGACGACGACGACGGCACGCCCCAACAGGCTCCCCATGACGCCCCAAACCCATGCTCCCAGAAGGCCTTCTGGGAACCGGATTCGCATCGCCTCCGCCCCCCTACACAACCATTTTCCTCGAAGGCCTTTCGGAATGCAGATTGGCATGCGTGGACTGTGGTCCACTACTTCAGTGGAGGCCCACGAGGGCGCCAAGAGGGCTCCGAGATGCCCAAGATAAGCCCAAGACGGCCAAAGAGGCCCCCAAGACGCTCCAAGTGGCCTCCAAGAGGCCCCCCCAGAGGGCCCCACGAGGCCAACATCGCTAATTTTACGAAGGTTTTGGACACATTTTGCCTTTCCCGCCTTTTCAGCTTTCCGACGCTTCACGACGGCTCAAAGGCCCCCCGCGGACGCCCCAAGACAGCCCAAGAGGCCTCCAAGAGGGGCTCAAGACGGTTCTGGAGGGCCCCAAGACGGCCCAAGACGCGCCCAAGACGGGCGAAGAGAGGCCCAAGACGGCCCCAAGAGGGGAACCGCGAACCGGAAATTCGAGCCTCCCGCCTCCACAGGGCCCCGGGAGGCCCCAAAGGGGCCCCAAGAGGCACCAGGAGACCCCCAAGAGGCACCCAGGAGGCCCGGTGCCCGAAAACAGCTGCCCCGACTCGCCCCGACCTTCCATGGGGGTACAGGGGCCCATTTTCCTTATGTTTTTAGAAGGTTTCCGTGTCCTTTGGCCTCGGAGGCCGCCGCCTCCGACCCCCCATGGGAGGACGGGGCGGCCGGAGAGGTCCAAAATAGTCCAGGAGGGCCTCCAGAGGCTCCCAAGATAGGCCCAAGACGGCCCGAGAGGCCCCCCAAGGCACCCCACGACGCTTCAAGACGCTTCTCCAGAGCGCTTCAAGAGGCCGAAATCGTCAATTTTACTAAGGTTTTCGAACGATTTTGGCCTTCTAGCCTTTTCGGCTGTCCGACGTTCAAGACGGCTCAATAGGCCCCCAAGAGCGCCTCAAGACGGCCCAAGAGGGCCCCAAGACGGCCCCAGAGTCGCCCAAGACAGCCCAACAGAGCAGAGCCCCAAGACGGCCCCAAAATGTGCCCAAGAGGGGGACCACGACTCCAAAATTCGAGGCTCCCGCTTGAAGAGTACCCCAGGAGGCCCCAAGGAGCCCCCAAGAGGCCCCAGGAGGCCCCCAAGAGGCACCCAGGAGGCCCAAACTTGGCCTAAAGAGTCCACTAAACAGCCCCGAGGAGGCCCCACAACGGTCCCAAAACGGCTACCGAGAAGCTGCGAAACTGCTTTCACGACGTCCCCGACAGGCCAACCACGAGATCCAAACCAACACCCATGAGGCCTCTGACCCACCACCCAGGGCACTATGGCGGGAGCAGTGACAGCACTTGCTTGTTCTTGTTTTTTGTTTCTTTTTTTTTTTTCCCCCTTCTTCTTGTTTTTTTTTTCTTCGTTTATTTTTTGGTTTGTTTTTTTTAGTTTTTTTTTTACCATTGCACACAGCGCACATGTTTTTATTTTATTCGTTTCTGGCGCGGAGCCTTCCGGAAACACGCGTTCTTTGCATTTTGTTTTTTTTTTGTTTTTTTTTGCTATTTTTTGCAGGAGGAGGATGGAAGATAAGGAGGAGAGAGAGCTGGAGTGGGAGGAGGAGGAGGAGGGGGACGAGGAGGAGGAAGAGGCCTCCAAGACAGCTCCAAGATAGCCGAAGAGGCTTCCAAGAGGGCCCTGGGCGGCCCACGATGGCCCCAAGGCGGTGCCTGAGGCGCCCAAGAAGGCCCGAGAGGGCCCCAAGACGGCCCCAAGAGAGGCCCAAGAAGGGAAACACCTGCCCCCTCCTCGAGTGTGAACGCTGCTGTATCTTTCCGAAACGGTTGCCTGCTGCAGTTGCAGCGCTGTTCAATCACTCCATCTTGCTGCATGAGCGTTGCGCGACCGCGACGCACCATCTCCGTGCGAAGCAGTGTGCGTGCGCGGCCGGTCCATCCGTGCTCCGAGGCTAGACCTTGGCCTCCAGGCGGACAGGATCAAAATCATCACCTTTCTCCCTCTCCCTTCACCCTGCCCCCTCCTCAAGTGTGAACGCTGCTGTATCTTTCAGAAACCGTTGCCTGCGGCAGATGCAGCACTGTTCAATCATTCGATCTTGCTGCATGAGCGTTGCGCGACCGCGACGCACCATCTTCGTGCGAAGTAGTGTGCGTGCGCGGCCGGTCCATCCGTGCTCTGAGGCTGCACCTTGCCCTCGAGGCGGACAGGATCAGAATCATCACCTTTCTTCCTCTCTCTTCACCCTGCCCCCTCCTCGAGTGTGAACGCTGCTGTATCTTTCAGAAAGCGTTGCCTGCTGCAGTTGCAGCACTGTTCAATCACTCGATCTGGCTGCATGAGCGTTGCGCGACCGCGACGCACCATCTCCGTGCGAAGAAGTGTGCGTGCGCGGCTCATCCGTGCTCTGAGGCTGGACCTTGGCCTCGAGGCGGACAGGATCAAAATAAAGAAAAACATACATCGTCTTCAAATCCTTCCCCGAGGGTCTCAAGACGGCCCCAGACAGCCCCCAAAGGCTCCACAGAAGATTACCGAAGCGCCTCCGCTGTCCCCCAGGAGGCTGCGATGAGGCGCCCGGAGGCCCCCAAGAGCGCCTGCAGACGCTCGCAGGCGGCCCAAGAGAGCCCCCCGCAAAGCGCCCATGTGGCCCACGCCGAGAGCCCCCGCAGACCTGGGGTAGGCGCTGCCGGGCCGCCTGTGAGGGCCCAAGTTCAGGAGGGGAAAGCACACACAGACAGAACTCATCGTCGACTCCGAGTCGACGATGAGGCCTCTGACCCACCACCCAGGGCATTGTGGCGGGAGCAGTGACAGCACTTCTTTTTTGATTGGGTTTGTTCTTTGTTTGATATTCTTGCTCGATTCGTCCTTTGTCGTTTTTGGTCTTTTTTTTTCCCCCCTTCCGTCTTTTTTTTTCTTTGTGCACAGCATGTTCTGGCGGGAGCATTACGGAACACGCTATTGTTTTTTATTTCTTTGAGTCACCTTTGCTTGTGTTTGCCCTTTTACTTACACTACATGTGGAGTCTTACTTGCAGGAGGAGGAGGAGGAGGAGGAGGAGGAGGAGGAGGAGGAGGAGGAGGGGGACGAGGAGGAGGAAGAGGCCTCCAAGACAGCTCCAAGATAGCCGAAGAGGTTTCCAAGAGGGCCCTGGGCGGCCCACGAGGGCCCCAAGGCGGTGCCTGAGGCGCCCAAGAGGGCCCGAGAGGGCCCCAAGACGGCCCCAAGAGAGGCCCAAGAAGGGAAACACGAACTGAGAATCCGAGCTTTCTGCCCCGAGAGGTTTTCGGGAAGTCCCAAGAGGCCCCCAATCGGATCCAAGAGGCCCCAGAGAAGTTCCCAAGAGGGCTGACGAGGTTCCAAGAGATCTCGCAAGGTGGCCCCAAGAGGCACAACTCATTGTTTTACGATTGGGCTTTGACGGGTTTTAATTTTTGTCTGCCTTTTGGCATCCCGATGCTCCAAGACGGCCCAAGAGGCTTCCAATACCGCTCCAATATAGAGGAAGAGGCCTCCAAGAGGGTCCCAAGACGGCCCGCGAGGGTCCCAAGACGGTGCTTGAGGCGCCCAAGACGGCCCGAGAGGGCCCCAAGAGCCCCAAGAGAGGCCCAAGAAGGGGAACGCGACCCCACAGCAGAGCGTTCCCCTCAAAAGGCCCACAGGAGGCCGCAAGAGGACCCCAAAAGCTTCCCGAGGGCCCAAAGGCCCCTAGGAGACGTCCAAGAGGTTTTCAAATTGCCCAAAAGTGCCCTCCAAGCGTCAAAACTGCTTCCAGGAGGCCCGCGGGAGGCTTCCGGATTGCCTCAATCTGGCCGCAGGTGGCCTCACGTCGGGCCTCCACGCAGCCAAGACGGCCAATGACGGCTTCAGATTGCAGAACCGATGCCCCCAAGGGACCCTCAGACGTCCCCCCAAGAGGCACCCAAGAGGTGCCTCGAACAGCCAGTTGACGAAGCCTGCGGAACACCCCAGAAGCTCCTCAGATGCCGTCGCGCGCCTGTGCTTGATAGCGTTGTCCAAGATCGTCCAGCGCCCCCCCGGCCTGGGCTAGAACCTGAGCGCGCGCGAAGCGCGCGCGATTGTTCTACGGTCAGGGGGTTTCGTTTAGCGTGTATCCTGAGGGTCGGTGGATACGCGCTAAACGAGTCCGGCGTTTAGCGTGTACCTTTTAGCTCGCTGTTTAGCGTGTACCTACGAATGCTCGTCGGTTCGTTTAGCGTGTACCTACAAATACTCGTCGGTTTCGTTTAGCGTGTACCTCTGTGCCTCGCCGGGTTTCCAGTGAGGCCCAGGACGACAAAGGTAAGAGGCCCAAGAGGCCGCCAAGACGGCCCAGGATGGCACGGATTGCTGCCCAAAACGTCCAAAAAGGGACCCAAGAGCGCCAGAGACAGCACAAGAAAACCCACAAGGAGGCCCACCGTGACCCAGGAGTGCACCCGCCAGGTGGGGTGGGGGGGGGGGCAGGAGGGGAGGGGTGGCGAAAGGCAGGCCGCGCTGCAGGAGGGGCGGGAGGCGGCAGGTACACGCAATACTGACCGCAGCTCCAGCAGGGGGGGGCAGGACGGCCCAGGGCTCCAAGAGGTGACGTCAAGAGGGCCCTAGAGGATTCCAAGGCAAGCCAGGATGGCTCCAAGAGCAGCCCAGGACGGCCCAAGAACGCGCACGAGCACCCCAAAGGAAGCCCAACAGTGCAGAAGGCACAAGTCTCCAGCAAGACAGCCCCCATTATTGCCGAAAAACCCAAAAGTGCCCCAAGAGTGCCCAAGATATGTAGCCCAAGAGGGCCTTCAGGGAGGCCTACCGCGATCCAGGAGAGCACCTGCCAGGTGGGGGGTGGCTGGGAGGGGAGGGGTGGGGGGCGCTGCAAGAGGGGCGGGGGGCAGGTACACTCTATATACTGGCTCTAACTCCAGCAGGGAGGGCAAGGCGGCTCAGGGCTCCATGAGGTGCCTTAAGAAGACAGGGCTCCAGGAGAACCCCTGGAGAGCTGCATGAGGAACCGCATTTGGCTCAGTATACGTTCCAGATTGGACCTCCGAATTCGGATGTGCGGATTCGTGGTTCCAGGTTCCGGATTTCAGGTTTTGGGTTGGGCTTCCGATCGAATATCGGGATTCTGGTTTCCGAGTTCCGGGTTCCAGGTTCCGGATTGGACCTCCCAATTCGGATGTGCGGATTCGTGGTTCTGGGTTCCGTTTTGGGTTGGGCTTCCGAATTCGGATATCCGGATTTTGGGTCCGGGTTCTGGGTTCCAGGTTTTGGGTTGGTCCTCCGAATTCGGATATGCGTTCCGGGTTCTGGGTTCCAGGTTCCAGATTGGACTTCCGGATTCGGATATCTGGATTCCGGTTTCCGGGTTTTGGGTTCGAGGTTCCGGATTGGACCTCCGAGTTCGGATATTCGGATTCCAGGTTCCGGGTTCTTGGTTCCAGGTTTCGGATTGGTTCCCCGAGTTCGGATATGCGGATTCGTGGTTCCGGGTTCCGGGTTCCAGATTCTCAAACATGGAGGCATCTTCGAAAAATGATTTGTTCGCAACATTTTCTCAGCTTCGGGTGCCCAGGACAAATCAAGAGGGCCCCAACACGGCTCAAGATGCACCGAAGTTTGCCCAATACGTGTTCAAAGCAGCTGTCTAAGACGGCTCAATATAGCTCTTCCTTTTTCCCGGAAAGGGCTCGGGCCCAGGGTTCTCTTTTAGTTGGTTTATTCCGCCCTGGAAGAGGGCCAGCAGATTTCCGTTCGATGAAAAACAAGGTAAAGTCCAATTCGGCGTGAACAAATGCGTTTCGCGCGTGCCCGCTCGAGGAAAGTCGACCCCCCGCCTCGGATCCTCGATAAAAAACGGGGTCCTCGCACCCCCGCTTTCCTTCGTGAAAATCCTCGAAACAAAAACGAGGAGGCGGAGGAGGCGGAGGATGAAGAGGAGGAGGAGGAGGAGGAGGAGGAGGAGGAGGAGGAGGAGGAGGAGGAGGAGTCGCAGGTTGAGGAGGCGGAGGCGGGAGGAGGAGGCGGAGGGGATGGGCGGAGGAGGGAGGAGAAGGAGAGGAGAGGTAGGAGGAGAGGAGAGGAGGCGGAGGAGGAGGAGGAGGAGGAGAGGAGGAGAGGAGAGGAGAGGAGGAGGAGGAGGAGGGTGAGGAGGAGGAGGAGCAGGCGGCGACGGAGGAGAAGGAGGAGGAGGAGGATTATGAGGCGGAGGAGAGGAGAATGCGGAGGAGGAAGGAGGAGGGGAGGCGGAGGAGGAGGAGGAGAGGAGGAGGAGGAGGCAGGAGGAGGACGCGAGGAGAGGAGGAGGAGGGGGAGGAGGAGGGGGAGGAGGAGGAGGGGAGGAGGATGAGGAGCGAGGAGGAGGAGGAGGAGGAGGAGGGGGAGGAGGAGGAGAAGGAGGAGGAGACGGAGGAGGCGGAGGAGGAAGAGGAGGAGGGCGAGGAGGAGGAGGAGGAGGAGGAGGCGGAGGCGGAGGAGGCGGAGGAGGAGGCGGGGGCAGGAGCAGGGTGTATAGTATTTGCACGTCCTCTCTGCGAACGGGCCCTGGCCGACCACCGGCCAGGGCCCCACCCCCGCACCCGTGCGCCTCCTCCACCCCCGCACCCATGCGGAGCAGGGCCTCGGCCCAGAGGTGCCCTGGTCCGTGAACACCTTCGCCCGCTCCTACCTGCAGGCGGCCCTGCAGGACCCCGCGGGCGAAACGATGAAGATGACGATGACGGTGAGGTCAACGTCATCGTCGTCGTCATCGTCGTCGTCATCGTCGTCGTCGCCATCACATGTCGATCGCCCGCAAGGTCTGGCAGGCGGCCCTGCAGGACCCCGCGGGCGAAAAACACAGGTCGATCCCCAGGCGCTCCCATTGTTGTTGGAGCGTGGGCCCCGCAGGTCTGGACCACTTCCCCAGGGCCTGTGTTTCGTCCAGAGGCCCGGCGAGGGCCAGCGCCGAGGCCCGGCGAGGGCCCCCGACATCTGGCCGCTCCTCTTGTTTCGATGCGTGGGCCCCAGAGGTCTGGGCCCCTCCCCCTCGGTCCGGCGTTTGGGCCTGAATCGTTGTCTGACCGCCCAGAGGCCCGGCGAGGGCCCCCGGAGGCCGAAAGCGACCCAGAACCCGCCGCTCCAATGTTTGTGGGAGCGTCTGGTCTCTGGGCCGGGGAGCAGTCGTGACCCGGGAGCCAAGCCGAGGGACCAGGGGGGCAGACCTTGTGGAGGCTGGAGGGCAGCCGGGCTTCTCAGGATCACTCCGGCCTGCCGAGAGGTCGCATCTCCGTCTGTGGAGAGGAGGCCCTGGAGGCTTCTCGGGAGGCCAGAGGCCCTCGGAGGAGCCTTCCCAGAGATCCGACGCTCTGACAGACATGGAGCGGCCGATGTCTGGCCATCTTCGGCCCCTGGGGTCCCTCGCCGGGCTTCGGCACAGTCAACACAAAACGACTCAGGAGGAAGAAACGGCCCTAGAG